AGCAGGACAGACTTAAGTGCATTGTGACAGCAAAAGTAAATCGAATAAACTTAATTTTACTAATTATATGTACATAACTGAAGATAATTATTACAGAACCATCATTGTTTGGGATTACATGAGTTTAATGTGAATATTAATAGTAATTTACACCCACTATGCTGTGTCAGAATTAGTTCCGAACAATAATACTTTGCAATTACTTATTGCTCCTTAGACTAAATTCTGCCCTGATTTTCAGTCAATTGGGGTTGGTTCAATAAAAGATTTCACCTATCTTGCCTCAGTCAATGTAATGTAAGAACTTGGTCCTGCATTTTGAAAGTCCCAAGCCTTAGCCAACTGAAACGAAAAGTGGAAAGTGCTATAAAAATATAAACTAACATAAAGGAAAATTTTCAAGTAATTGATTTTATAGGGAATTTTCTAGCAGGTTTACTCTTCTTCTAAGGAAGTGAACAAAGGGATGCTCCTTAGAATTTCCAAGATAAATTAAAAAAAATTCATATAACAAGACTTCTCTCTCATGAAACAAGCACTTGACCATACACACAAAAATGTGGACACAGTTTGTTTTCAGCTGCTGTTTCTTCTGAGTTAAATTAATGATTTTAGAGTAGTGACCAATTTAGATGTTACAGGGTAATAATGGAAGGCTTCCAGAAATAATTTAACTGAGGAAAGGAAAAAGTCTGCTTCAGAACAGAATAAACATTATCATCATCAGGTTCCTGGAGTAGTATTAATACCTTCTCTGGAAGGGAGGGTTAGTGCTACCCTATATTAATTGCTCTGTGGAAGGTTAATTCTGTCCCCTATTAATCCTGTGCTGGAGTGGGTTGCAGATATCAGGGATTAGCTGTGACCCTATTGATGCCAACTGGGGGCAGTGGGGTGCTGGTGCTGTATAATGATGCTAACTTGAGGGCTGTGTGGAATCTATTGATTCTGTAGGGGTTAGTGCTGACCAGTGCTACTGAAGCCAACATGGAGGCAATGCATATCGATCTCTTATAGATTGGGAGGTAGTGCTGATCCATACTGATGCCAGTTCAGTAGCAGTATGGACCAGGTTCTTATGGATTTGGCAAAGGGTGAGTGCTGACCATTGCCACTGATGCTAATGTAGGGGCAATGCATATTGGTTCCCTATGGATTGGGGATAGTATTGACCCCCCATTAATGGCATGACAGCCTCCTATGGATTGGAGGTAATACTGACCTTGACTGTCGGTACCCTACCAGTACCCTATGGATGGGGCAACGCTGTCCCCTGTTGCGGGCACACTGGTCCTTATGGATGAGGATAGTGCTGTCCCCACCTGAGGGTATGCGGGGCCCTATGGATGGGGCAGCGCTGTCCCCTATTGAGGGCATACTGGTCCTTATGGATGAGGATAGTGCTGTCCCCACCTGAGGGTATGCGGGGCCCTATGGATGGGGCAGCGCTGTCCCCTATTGAGGGCACACTGGTCCTTATGGATGAGGATAGTGCTGTCCCCACCTGAGGGTATGCGGGGCCCTATGGATGGGGCAGCGCTGTCCTCTGTTGCGGGCACACTGGTCCTTATGGATGAGGATAGTGCTGTCCCCACCTGAGGGTATGCGAGGCCCCTATGGATGGGGCAGCGCTGTCCCCTATTGAGGGCACACTGGTCCTTATGGATGAGGATAGTGCTGTCCCCACCTGAGGGTATGCGGGGCCCTATGGATGGGGCAGCGCTGTCCCCTGTTGCGGGCACACTGG